TTTCCCCAGCCAAGTGCCATCCCAAGACCTCGGCATCAGCTCTGCACGTCTGGGTCCCGCGTAGGAGCACGTGAAAGTTTTGGCGGGGAAGCTGATAACTCGAAGACGAGAAAAGCTAGAAAGCTAAAACCTTACGGAAGTGTTCTTTACCCGTGTATGACAAAAAGATTTCAAATTCAGCTGCCCAGGACTGCCCGGGGCTTACGTACGGACATATGAAAATTGTGGCGGGGAAATTCATAAATCGAGAATTAAAAAAGTTAGAAAGTTGAAATCTTTTTGTCATACACAAGTAGGGAATTTTCCCTACTCACGCACGACCAAAAGCTTTCATGCTCAGCCCCTTAGGACCGCCCCGGGCTCACATGCGGGTACATAAAAATTTTGGCGCGAAAATTACAAACCCAGGAACGTGAAAAGCTTGAGAGCTGAAACCTTAGAGGAATGTTCCCTACTTGTGTATGACAAAAAAATTTCAAATTCAGCTGCCTAGGACTGTCCGGGGCTTACGTACGGTCACGTGAAAATTATGACGGGAAAATTCATAACTCGAGAATGAGAAAAACTAGAAAGCTGAAACTTTGGGGAATGTCCCCTACTCACGCACGACCAAAAGCTTTCAAACTCAGCTTGTCAGGACCGCCCGGGGCTCACGTACGCGCATGTGAAAATTTTTGGCGCGAAAATTACTAATCCGGGAACGGGAAAAGCTAGAAAACTGAAATTTTATGGCAATGTTCCTTACTCATGTACGTGCAAAATCAGGAGTTTAGAAGCGCCCGGGGCCCACATACGGGCACGTGGAAATTTTGGCGCGAAAACAACTAACACGGGAACGAAAAAAGGCAGGAAGCTGAAATTTTACGGGAATGTTCTCTTCTCACGCACGAGCAAAATAAAGTGTTTAGAAGCACCCGGAGCGGGAAAAATTTTGGCGGGCTCGTACGCGGGTACTACGCTTACCCGGGGGTTGGGTCTGAGCCCATCAATACCTAGTTGGACGGAGAAGGGACGGCGAGGGAGGAAAGAGGTGATTTGGAGAAGGGAATTAGCAAACAGGGTAGAGGAGGGAAACGAGAATACCAGACCGGAGTTCGGAGAAAGGAACT